ATTAATTCCTCGGACTATAAGACTGAAACATATATAACTGTGTAACTATTTACGTTACTAACAACACAGGTATTAGCTAAAAGTTGTTGGATGTGCGCTCACCGGTCGGGTTACGCGACAGGATCGTCACGTTATGCCTTGTGCAGTCTTCGGGAGCAGTCATACAGCAACCAGTAGTATGGAGGGGGCTACCGAAAAATACAAGAGCCATTTCTGATATATTAGTTCTCGTCAGCCGGCCCTACCCAAACCCCGGTTTGCCGCAAATGAGCCTCGAACACGCGCTCTCTGGCCTTCGAGAGTTATTAAGTCCAGCGCTCTACCTACCTATCAGACGTCCATGCGGAAACAGTGCCCCAAGACACAGCGGGACGAGGGAGTTCCGTAAAACCGACCGGTGAACGCCTGTCTACCATTCTATGTTGCCGACCGCAATCGACGGGAGAACGAGCTCCTGGTTCAGTGGTTAGAGGCGTTGGACTTCTAATTAACAGGCCGCGAGTTCGGGCCTCATGTGTTCTACACCTTGGGGTCGGGTATGGCTGGCTGATGACGGCCAATATGCCAGAAGTCGCCATTCCAGTCTCCCTTGTTTTTGTCGGCAATGTTATTTTGTCCGTCAAAACTCTCAATACTCACTTCTGTCAGACAGCAGTAAAGGCACTAACCAGATCTGATGTCAACGAAAATTTAAGGCCAGAATTGGGCTCTCCGAAACTCTCATAACACACCACAACACTGGCAACAATCGATCATCATGAAAGCCATCGTTGGTTGCGATGTAAAAACTACTACTACTGCTGCGACTACTACTACTACCGCCACCTCCAATACTACTACTACTACTACTGCTCCTACTACTACTACTATTAGTTATCCCACCACCAATACTACTATTACCACTAATACCATTATTATTGAACGTTCTGTAGCAGGTAGCCATCATGACCGATCTGGCGTCATTGGTCAAGACCTCGCTGCCTCAAGTTCATTCAACCCCTTTGCAGTGAGCCGTTCCGGACGCGCTGACCTAAATTCACGCAACCGACAGCTCCGGAAGGCCTGCGTCCGCACAGCCGCAGCTGCCCATGCGCCACTTGGACGCGCCAGCCCCCGCAACCAGCAAAACAAGCCACTGGGACACCAACCCTCGGCAAATGTAACACACGCCGATTGGAGACCACTTGAGCTTGGCCCACGAGTCTACAAAAGCAGCTGCCACCACTGTCCCAGCGACTCTCATGCATGACTGGACGCAGTTAACACCAGCTCTAGCTTCGCCAGTGGCCACTGCCGCCTGAGAGGACAACTCCGGGTTCCGCGCACAATAAACCCCTTATTCTGGTGCCTTCCCTCTACTTCTTACGACTTGGGATTTGACCCGACGATGGTAGGTCACGGAAGTTCTGCCAGCACTAACTCTGCTATAAATGGTAATATGACTACCAAAAACACGAATCGCACGAAGACAGCCACTGTCACCTCTGTTAATAATAGTAATAATTCTACTGCCAGCTACTACTGCTGTCGTTACTATAGGTAATATTGTACTAACGATGCCTACTGTCAATATTACCTTTCTTTATATTGCCTCAACTGTGAAAAACTCAGCACCTCGGTGGGATTCAAACCCACGACAGAAAAGCGAAGGCTTTAGTACAGCCAAAACTCTAACCACCTGAGTTACGAGGTCCCGCCGGACGACGCGAGTTTAATCAAGTTACCCGCTCAATCTACCGCAACGTCTGGAAACCACCAAATCTGATACAGTAAGTTGACCGCCCAAGCAGGATTTCCTAAGTAATTCACCTAGAATCCGCCAGATCACTACCAGGTTCCTAATAATCATCCTTGCTTTTGTTAACAATGCCACTGATAGAACCATCATCAGATGTACACCACTCCCATTACTTCGATTGCCGTCATCACCACTGGTGCCAAATTGACAATAATTTCACTACGAATATTACCACTACCCAAACCTTCGGTTCGGTCTTGGGCCCTCTTCTTTTCCTCATCTGTATAAACGACTACACTGCAGATCTTGAATGCGATGGCATCATGTTTGTTGGTGATATAAAGATGGGTAAAACGATCAGCTGCATTGACGACGTGCAGAAACTACAGGAAGATGTTGATAAGTTGGCTGCATGGTCCAGCAAGTGGCTTCTAGCTTTTAATGGATCCAAATGTGTAGTCTTGTGCCTAGAATTTGGTCGAAGGCGCTTCCCAAAACACGAGTACACCATAAATGGTGTTTCAATAAAAGAGTGAACACACAGAAAGACCTAGGTGTCTGGGCAAGTTCAAACTTGCTGCCCTCCGAGCACTGCCAAAGGGGCCGTCCAAAAGGCAACCAGCATCATGCACTGAACCAAGAGTGCCTTCGCAGTCTTTCCTCCCGAACGCTTCGCGCAGATATTAGGTACGTTCGTCAGATCTCATTTGGGTAGGACAATTGTGTGTAGCCTGGACTGTGCAAGGCGAAGGAGAGGTTCCTGTCTTACGGGATCGGTGGGAAGGGGGGTTTTTAGGGTGGGGTAAACGGGGAACCCATCAAAGGGTAAGAAAAAAAGTAAAAAAAGAGGTTTAGAAAGTAAATAATAAAGTTTGTTTGAGGTGAAAATGTGCCGAAAATTAAAAACGGAAGCCGTAACCAATGGGAACAATATACCCAAGGCCAAGGCCATTCGGCTGAAGGTGCCCCAGACAATACCGCCACTGATGATGAATCCTGGTCAAATGCCAACGACAAGTAGGGCGGTGGAAAATGAACCCGAAGAACGGTAAGTATGAATGCAAAATACGGAGGACGGAAGCCGTATTTATTAATTTGTTCAATAATTACCAAACGTTTCCCACTTATAGAAGGGTGACAGCAAAGAAGAAACGGAAGGCCGCTCCGCAAGCTAATAATGCCATCGGAGATTGAACAGATCCTGGATATTATCCAGTCCCCATATTTAGTGCAATAGTTACAAGCTAAACGAGTCATGGCGACAGAAGCCAGATGTCGCTGTCGTAAACCGATGCCGTTGCGAATATTGCGTCAGCACACAGACGGGTTTGCCTTCAGGTACACGAAAATATTAATATAAGGCATTGCCTAGGTGTAACAAATGTGGTACCAAAAGGGCACTGAGAACTGGTTCGGTGTTTAAGGATAGTCTCCTGACTTTATCGAAGGTCCCATGTGGCTCAGGCCTATCCAGTCTCAGAAGAGCACTCGGAAACCGAGATATTTAGCAGCTGACCGGAAAGGTAAGCAGTGAGATGTTAATGATGTTGTACGCATAGTGCAATAATAGCAGCCAAACGAATAACAGCCAAGGAGAACAACTGAACGGGCAGGCAATTGACATTTTGGCCACTGAAAACTGGTACAACGGAAACAGTTTGTAATTCTTCCATATTCTGCACTGAAATAGTGAATTCCTTACTTTACCTCTCAACCTTTTTTTCCCTTTTGTCCCATAACCCCATCCGAAAATGCGCCAACGGGGATTGAAATCGTAGTATTTGAAGGGATTGACGGAAAACCTATGAACACCCTAACTGCCGATCATGACCAATCGGAAGGCTACTTCGTAAGTACGCTGACCGTCAAACCGATGAATGATGTACGTATAACAGGAAAGCCAAACCTACTGGTCACCGCAAGGCGACCAAACCGCCCAACCACACGGGCGTACGAAATCGACCGAAGCGCAAGGGGAAAGAGAGCGAAAGAGACCACAAAGAAACCCCGAGGGCCGGGTGGATACCTAAGCCCGTGAAAGTGCAAGGCAAGGCCAAACCCCTATGGTTGGGTAGCTGTTCCAAGCGGGCTGCGGTTGGGTGTGGGGAGGGGAAGTGAGCCGTACGGCAGGCAAAGAAAGCAAACGGCAAGCGGCCTTAGGAGACCGCACAGGAAGCCAGCAACCGGGTTTAACGCCTGTACGGCTAAGCCATGAAGGGCTAGTGCAGCCCCTGAAGTATGTAGAA